ACCTGGTAGAAGCAGTAGAAGGAGGGCAGAACAGAATGGCCAATTATCCCAGTTGAAGCATGATGGCAAATTTCAGAATGAATGGAGACTCGCTCGGAGGTGGACTGTGTCAGCCAACGGACTTTGGCAGGGTGGCCTCATCCTTGCATCTGTGAGACTGACAGCATTCCAGCACTATCAAATCTCCTGAACAGAATCTGGGAGCGTGCTCTACACTGGGGACTTTGGGATGACACCAGGTGGCTGCCCCCCACACCTGGGTACTGAGGCGGCTGGAAGGCTGGGTGTGACTTCTCCCCTCCCCCCAGATACAGGAAGAAGGAAAAGAAAATATGGAAACAACGGCTCCCCCGTTTGGCCCGATCCTGGACCCTTCCCACCCTCATCAACTATGTAAACGTCACTAACAGAAGAGGCCTTAGCTTCGGACGTCCAGAACTGGGCAGAGAAAGGCAGGGTCCAGGCCAGCCCACGCCATCCACCCTTCCGGAACGACACACGGCCCAGTCTTCGAAAGGGCAGTGTGCACATGACCCCTGAGAGAAACACACATGGCTAGGAAGTGCGCGAGCAGATGCTCAGTATCACTGACATGGAAGAAACACAAACAAACGAGACAGCTCACACATCCACTACGACATTCCAAATGCTGGAAACGCAAGCATCAAAGTGGTACAACCGCCTTGGAAGGCGTGCTTGGCCGCGTCCAATCAAGCTAAACATTCAGCTAAGGTGTGCTCCGGAAATTTCACTCACAGCTCATCTGAGAAATGAAAACACATTTCTACATACATATTCACAGAAGCTTTATTTATTAAAAATTATTTTTATTGGAAAGGGAGATTTTCAGAGACCAGATAGAGACAAAGATGTTCCATCCGTCGCGACACACACCAGTGCACATTACGGAGTGCCGAGGTGAGGTGGGCCGTGCCAGATGTGGCCGCAGCACCCAAACAGCACACGTGAGAACCAGGGAGGGAGGGGGCAAAGCTGGTAGGGGGAATGTGGGCTCCCCTGCTGGACAGCCACTCCCACTGAAGAGCAGGAGTTGGGATGGGGGCAGACCAGACCAGGTAGGGCTACAACACCTGTGGGCCTCATGTGAGCTGGATTAGGGAAAAGCCAGGCTGGGCTGACTGTTCCGACTGGTGCAGGCAAAAATCAGGGTGGGTGAAGGTTGGTTGGGCTTTGCCTCAGCATCAGTTGCCAGAGGCTGGCACTGGGGGCTTAATCTGTCAAGTTAAACCACAGAACCAACTGGAGACTGCATAATCTGGGAGTGGGAGTGGTCCAGGAAGGAAATAGTGGGCACCTCCCTCTTGGGTTACCACTCCCACTGGAGAGCATAAAAACCAGGACAGGGGCAGGGGTGGCTAGACAGAAAGGCACCCACCAGTATGTGTGTGGGTTGGGTTGAACTAGGCTTCAAGGCCCATTGACATGTACGAGAGCCAAATGGGATGCAGGGCAGACTGAACAAGTCGGCGGTACATACTGGCAAGCACAGGAACCAAGGTAGGGGACAGGCCTGGTGGGGGTGATGGGGAGTCGCCTCGACTAGGCTGCAGCTCCCACTGGTTAGCGTGAGGACCGAGAATGAAGTGGGCAGGATCGGGCTGGACTGCAACAACCATTGGTTCATGTCGAAGACCAGGCTGGAAACGGAACTGACCCAGCAATTGCAACGACCAGCATGTGCATGAGCTGATTGGGACGATGGACTGTGCCGATCCTGTACTGGCAAACTCACACAAGAATCAGGTCTGGGATCCTCAGACGAAGTTTGTCTGGAGATCCCTCCAACTGAACTGCTGGTCTCAGAACCCCAACCATGAAGAGACTGTGTCAGCCTGTGGATTCTGAATAGATTTTGTTGTGATTGGAATGGCGAGATTGGCAGCAATTCAGAACCGTTGAACTATCAAAACTGCTTGAGCAGGACCCTCAGAGCGTGCCCCACGTCGGGGACCTGGGATGGGTGGGAGGCTGGGTGGGGCTTTTCCTTTTGTTTCTGCCCTGATCCCAGATACGGGAGGTGGGGGGTTGGACACGGTATTAGTGTGGAAACAATGGTCTTGCCCACTTTCTTGTAGCCCTTGATCAACTCTATAAGTGTATTAAAAAAAAAAGTTCTGTCCACTGATTCACTTCCCAAATGGCTGCAACATAAGCTGATCCAAAGGCAGGAGCCTGGAGCTTCTTCTGGGTCTCCCACGTGGGTGCAGGGTCCCAAGACCTTGGGCCATTCTTGACTACTCTCCCAGGCCACAAGCAGGGAGCTGGATGGAAAGCAGAGCAGCTGGGACACGAGACGGTGCTCATATGAGATTCCAGCTCACGTGAGGGAGGACATTAGCCACTAGGCTACTGCACTGGGCCCAGCAGCTTTATTTTTATTAGCCACAAACTGACAGTACAGTCACCCAACAGGCACTCAGTAACAGGTCAGCAGTAACAGTCATATCATGGGATAATTTTATTTTTAAAAAAAATTTTATTTTTTATTGGTAAATCAGATATACAGAGAGGAAGATCTTCCATCTGCTGAATCACTCCCCAAGGGACCGCAATGGCCAGAGCTGAGCCGATGCAGAGCCAGGAGCCAGGAGCCTCTTCTGAGTCTCCCACGTGGGTGCAGGGTCCCAAGGCTCTGGCTGTGCTCGACTGCCTTCCAAGTCCACAAGCAGAGAGCTGGATGGGAAGTGGAGTTCCAGGATTAGAACTGGTGCCTGTATGGGATCCTGATGCATGCAAGAACACTTGGCTGCTAGTTTACCACACCGGGCCCTCGTGGAATAATTTTAAACATAATTGCAGTGATTTGGACGGCAGGGAGACAGGTTTGTCCCCGGATGCTTCCAACATCCGGGCTGGGCCAGGCCAGGCCAAAGTCAGGAACTGCCAAGAGTACCTGACGGCAGGCGGCTGGCTTCACATGGACCCCATGCACTCCAATGCAGGGCCCAGGACCCTCTCAAGTGGTGCCCTAGCCGCTTTGTTCAAGACCAACCCCGGAAATAACTTCTGATAGAGGCAACTAGGTGGGAGGGCAGGAGCAGTAACTACCCTGAAAACCAGAAGCAAATACCTGTGGCAAAGACTGAGCCAACCTTGGGCCTGGTGCAGTAGCCTAGTGGCTAAAGTCCTTGCCTTGCACATGCCAGGATCCCCAAAGGCACTGGTTCTAATCCGACGGCCCTGCCTCCCATCCAGCACCCTGTCTGTGGCCTGGGAGGGCAGCTGAGGACAGGCCAAAGCCTTGGGACTCTGTACTGATGTGGGAGACCCTGAAGAAACTTCTGGTTCCTGGCTTCAGCTCAGCTCAGCGCTGGCCTTTATGGCCACTTGGGGACTGGGGCAATGGATAGATCTTCCTATTTCTCTTCCTCTCTATATAAACCTGCCTTTACAATAAAAACAAACAAAAAACTCAAATACTTAAAGAGGCTGCAGCTTCCTTGACGCACGTGGCGCCTTCTGCCTGCCGGATGGTGACGTCTTTCCTGGCACTGTGACCAGGACACCTGCCTCTGGGAGAACTGTATAATCAGCAGGAATGCCAGGAGCCGGTGCCCCTGGAGAACAATGCTGGGAGGGGATGAGGGCATCTATGCTACAGCAGGGCAGTCTTTGGGGGGAAATTCAGTAAGCCAGTTTGTGGGAGTGTTCCTGGCTGAAGCACTTCCAGGAACGGATGTGCAGCCGGTCAAGCCGTCACTTGTCAGCATTTTGTGTCAAAGAGCCCGGGATTTCGTCAAGCGTCCACTTCCCATGCAGCTCCCTGCTAAGGCACGCTCTGGCTCAACCCCTGTGGCTCCCAGGCATCCGTGATACCTGCCGGAGTTCCCAGCGCCTGGCTTCAGCCTGGTCCGGCCCTGACTGCCGAGGGCATCTGGGGTGTAAACCAGCTGATGGGAGCTCTCACTCTGCCTTTCAAATCCCTTTAGCTAAAACAATGTAAGACCACAGCTCTGCGACAGGAGGGAGAGGGTAGCCCTGATGGGGTCACAGCCAGCCCCTTGCTTCTCCCACGGCGGTGGGCAGGTTCCCCGATGCTGCGCGTCGTGCCGCCCTCAGCAGGTGCCTATCAGCTAGCCGGGCAGCAGCTGAGCGGCCTCTCCGGGGCCAGGGGTTCTTCCTCTAAATGTCCACCGAGCGGGGAAAACGAACCACATGTGCACCAAACGCTCCTCAACAGATTAATGCCTATCTATGGAACCTCGACGTCACGCACTCAAAGAAACCTGGTCACAGCGGAAGCTGGCGGAGCTCACCGTCTCCTCCAAGAGACTCGAGTGTCTACAGAGGGCCCAGAACCCACCTCATCCGGAGGGGACTCACTGGAGAGCTTTGGGTTCTCCTGGGTCTTCGCAGATTCAAACTCCCTGCCTCGCTTTACAAAGCCACCCAAGGGTCCTCGTGACAGGCCTCCAGGAAGGCTCCTGTCATTGGTCACTCACCTGCTCCGACAGCCGCAGTGGGTGGTGTCCTCGATCGTGAGACACAGCAACGATGATCTGAGGAGAAGTCTTCCAGAACTCTCCTGGGGCATCTGGAGGGTGACCTGTGCCCTCCCGGGAGTCGTGGCGGCACTACCCTCCTATGGGCTGAGGCCAGTGAGACGTGAACACCCAGCCCCCAGCCCCTTAGCAGCGACGCTACTCCGAGCACATCCTTACCATCCCATTGTAAAGGTGAGGAAATGGGCTCAGGAGACCACGGACACTGCACCTGAGGACAGTCAGAGCCCTGGACTGCCCCCACCCTCCGGGGCCCATGGTGGCTCGCCTTCCTCCCACTGTTCCCAGTGGGGCAGGTCCAGGGGGCTTCCCCGACTGGGGGTGTGCACTCCAAAGGCCCTTCGGGCTGGGCAGGTGGTCGACCGTGCCCTACATGTCATGTGCATTACAGAGGGAAAGGCAGTTGATTGGTGGTTATAAGTCACCTAACAATATTTAAACAATTTAAAAGGAAAGAATATCGCCACAAGAACTTTATGATAACACCTCTTTAATAGGCTGAAGTAACTGTACAGCTCATTATATTCTTCCTGAGAATAATTTATATCCCTCAACACGCTAAAGGGAGGGTGCATTTTTTCAAAATTATTTAACAGAATGGATGGTGTAACTAGACACCCAAGCAAACCAAGTCCCTCCGTTTCGCTGGATTCTGTCCGGGAAGACAGACACTCATGACGTAAGGTTAGTTAGCTCCAGTGGCTGTAAAATAGTCAACATGGCTTTAATCTTTTCCTTATAAATTACATAAAAATGGAAAACAGGGATGGTCCTGGAACTTCTTGGTGGAGTTTGGAGGTGCTCTGGTATAAAGCACTTCTGTTTCCAAGAGGAATAACATTGCTACAAAAAACTGGCACGTGGTTCTGGTGAGGACAGGCGTCCAGCCGTGTCTCCAGCTGGCTCCAGTCGGACGCTCCGCAGCCACAGGAAGTCGGAGGCAGGGAGCCAAGAGGGAGGCAGGTTGGTTTTTTCCTGAAAGGACTCAAGTCTTCAAAATAGAGCTTTAATATTCTTTCTTTGTAAAGAAGGGTTAGCATAATGCAACTGAAGGGTGTTCTAACAAACGAAAATTTCGAGTCTGGATAATGTTCCATGGCAGACCAGAGAATCCTCAGCTGCGTGGGTTTCCTGGAGTTCTTCACAACACACTCTCCCTCCAACATGCAGCGAAGGTGGCTCAGGAGAGAACACACCTCCCCCTTCGCCACTTCCATTAAAACACATCCTACGTGAACAGAAACAGCTCTTCATGATCTCAAAAGCTTCTTAAAGCGTAATTCCCATTCCCAGAAAAATGCCACATTTTGGATCCTGGATTTTTCAGAATATCATGATAAAAGAAACAAAAACAAAAACTCCCCAAAACCCAATCAAAATGTGGTTAAAACATACGAGAGAGAGAAGACTTTCAAGCAGCCGTCAACAGAGCTGGGGCCGAGGGCGCTGGGCCGGGGACACACAGGTCACCCCTCGCTGCTGGTGGAAGGCCAGAGAACACCTCCAGGGAGGGCAGGGAGCCGCGCTCGGCGCAAGCTCAGTGCGGTCTCGTCTGCCCAAGCATTTTGAGTCTTGCTTGGTCAATCACATCGAGTAGGTTTTTGGCGTCCACGGCCAGCGCGTGAGCAGCTGTGAGCATCTGCTTCTTGTACTCCTGCTGGAGACTGGTCATGACGTACTGCTGGGCCAGCTTCATCTTGCTGATGAGCTCACCCAGGTCAGAGTTCAACAGCTTCTGTGCCATCTCGATCTGCAATGACAACAGACACATCAGCTGGGCTGGCTTCCATGCAGTGTCCCGGGGAATGCCAAGTGTTTCTGGAACAGAGCAGAAGCACTTTGAGCCTTCCCTGGGAGCCAAAGGACAGAGTCCTAGCGCATCAGCACGTCACCGCTGGCTGCTGCCCTTGAAAACCCCGCTGCTCCCAGAGCCGACACACCCAGCGACACTCACAGTCCAGCCGGTGACAGAGCACACTTACATCACAGGGGACAACTGATCTGCTGAAGGCCACGTGGCTCCCAAGTCTGGGATCCAAACGAGAGCTTTGACCTTCACCCCGAGGCCTCAGCTTCTTTTATGTCCCGGCTGCATCTCAAGATGGCCATTTGCTTGGCAAAAGGTAGTTTTGGGGTGTCACGAGATACCCCGCCCTGCACAGACCTCCTGTGGTCCCACACAGCCAGAACACTTCACTCTGGAGTCTCATGATCTCTCATCGGTTCAATCGACCGTGGATTCATTTGCTCATTGACTCTCTTAGTAATTCCTGGTTGCTTAACACACCAAGGCACTTGGCATCATAGACAGGAATGACTGGGCGGTGTACAACACAAGGCACGCGCAGGCCACCTAGGGCACACAGGAAACGCAGCTGGAGGAGGGTGAGCCACGCCATCCCAGAGGGCAGGAACTCCACAGCATAGTTGGCTTACATACGTCCTGGACTATAAAAATAGCCTGGCTTCAACTGCAAAGGGCCTCCGCCATGCTGGGGGAGGTATATCCTGTGGGACTTGGCAGAGGGCAGGCATGAGAGCTTGGGTAGTGACAATCTAGAAAGACGCTCTAGAGATGTGGCTCTGGTGGCAAGGCAGAAGCCAAGGCGACATCAAATAAGTCCGGGAAAAGGCAGCCATGGCTCTCAGGGTGAGGGGTGCCAGCCCATCGACGGCATGGGTCATGTGCCTGTCTGCATGGTATGTGTAGTAAATGAGGTCGGGGGTGGCAAGTACAAGGTGGCACCACTGACTGTGAAGCCCACAGGAAACAGGCTGCTCCTGTTGCTGACTAGACACGCAGCACACGGCTGATTAGTGCGCAGGGACAGGGCCAACACACTCAGGTTAGCAGGTGTCAAAAACAAGCGGGGAGATAGTATGTCAATGTAGCCAGGAAAAAGAGCCAGGGGAGGGCCTCGGCAGGTGAGGAGTGAGGGGGCTCTGAGTCCGAGGGGCTTCAGGGGGAGAGGAGGGCCTTTGCCTGAAAGGCAGTCACAGCAGCGAGCAATCTGAAGCAGGTGTAGCTGAGACTGCTCTCTGGAAGGCAGCTGGGGAAGGGAAGCAGGAAGGACACAGATCAGCTGACATGGGGAGGAGTTTGTGTCATCAGGGCGTAGGGGAGATCACTGAGGGCTTTATCAGCTACCACTCGTAGTGGCCACAGTCCTGCTCAAGTATTCACAGCTTACGACAGCTTTCTGGCTTCTGGCACACAGGACCTCACTTCTGGGCAAAGCTTGCCATGGACAGTCACTGCAAGTCCCAATGCAGCAGTTGATTTAGCTGAAGCCCTCGCTGGCTAAGATTTCACAGTTATCCTGTGGCAAGCAGTCAGAAGCATTTTCCAAAGGATCCAAGTGGCTCTGTGCATTCCCAAAAGAACAACCCACAGCAGTGGATGTCGAGGGAATGCCTGGCTCACCAAAATACCACCCCCGGAGAGGTGCAGCCCAGGAGCAGGAGTCCACACCATCCGTGCAGGACGCGGGCTGCGGGGCCCATCAACCCCACAGCAGAACACCCTTCAGCCCCACCTCAGGACTAGCACAGGAATGTCACGGATAGCAAGGCATGCTTAAGGAACTATTCCGGGTCATAGGAGGGTGAGGCAGGGTGTGTGCTGCTGGTTCTTAATGCCATGGGGAAAGCATCACAGGACAACCATAAGGAGCAAAACCTGACCCCACAGTAGGAACACAAGTCACAGCCAAGTGGAAGGTTCTGGAATGTGACAGCTGGCAGGTACTTACGTAAAAGAGTGGCCTGACAGACACAAATGGAAGCAAAGCAGGGCAAGGGGACACGGTCTAACATTAGCAACAGAGTGCATGTGAGTGAGGACAGTGTTCACAAGGCAATGAGAGATGGGAGAAGGACGTTTAACAACTCTTTGAATTAATCTCAATTTTTCTGTATATCTGAAATGATTTCATTACAAGTGTAAACAAATAACAAAAAATCAAAACACGAAAGCTACTACTGGGTCAGACGACACCGCCTGGGGTAGAGGCGTGAGACGGGAGCCTGGCCTGTGGACTCTGGGTGCCTTGCTGGGGACACACCTCACGTGAGCATCACAGACATGGGCAGCAATCCTAACCACACAACAGGTGCCTTTAGCTGGAGCAAGTTAATCGGGAGCATTTTCTTCCTTTTCTTAGACACGTAAGCCAGACAGAACTGCCAAAGGTGGCAAAACCAATGACGGCTTCTGGGAAGCAGTACTGCCAGGGAGCTCTGATACAAGAAAACGTGGGTTGATAATTTGAAAGGAATTTGTATCTTGCCTTTTGCAATCATGCCCTGGGAGGAACCAGAACCAGCAGTGCCTTCCACTCGTGTCCTCACTCACACTTCACCCGCACCCTGTGTTCCAGTGAGCCCACCCGACGGCGGCTCTGCAGTTGGCTGGCAACAACAGGCGCCACTGCACGGTCCAGCCTTACTGGGAGGGCCATCACCCACAGAGCAGGGACAGCCAGTTTCTGCGGGCCACATACCACAGCCACCTCTGTCCAACCGCACTCTGGATGCCCCCCAGGGCTGTGCCCACCTCTCAGGGTGACTGCCCCCAGGACGCCCCCAGTGCTGTGCCCACCTCTCAGGGTGACCGTGCCCCAGGACGCCCTCAGTACTGTGCCTACTTCTCAGGGTGACTGTGCCCCCAGGATGCCCTCAGTACTGTGCCTACTTCTCAGGGTGACTGCCCCCAGGGCTGTGCCCACCTCTCAGGGTGACCGTGCCCCCAGGACGCCCCCAGTGCTGTGCCTACCTCTCGGTGCGTGCTGGTCGGGAGCACAGGGATGGTCTCGTCCACGGTGGCCAACAAGGTCCTCAGAGCCAAGCCAACTTCCTAAAAGACGACAAGCACAGCCAGCATCAGCACACTATCCAGACAAGCCTCAGCAAGCTGACAGTCACTTCCCTTCCAGGGACATTTCTTCCATCTCCTTTCCGCCTGTGCCATTTTTCCCCTTGTTTACTTACTTCATTTGAAAGGCAGAGAGAGACAGACAGAAAGAGGTCTTCCATCTACTGCCTCACTTGCAGGAAGCCTGAGAACAGCTGTGGTTAGTCCAGGCTTAGCCAGAGTCTGAACTCCTGCAGGTCTTTCCTGTGGTGGCCAGACTCCGGCACCTGAACCATCACCCACTGCTTCCCAGGGCGTAAGTGAGCAGGCTGCGGGCACTGGGAGCAGAGCTAGGCCTGCCCTGCAGGGTGCCTGGGCCCAAGCAGGATCCTCATGGCTGTGCACATGCCTGCTCCTGTCCCCCCATCCCCCATCCCCCATCCTCTGAGCACAGAGCGGTCGTCTCACACTGAGCCCCATCGTGGGAACCAGGAAGCTCCCGCTCCCCTTCCCTACACGCAGTCCTGACAGTCCTCCGGCTGAAGAAGAGCAGCGCAAGCAAGTCAACTCACACAGGGTCAGACCGGCAAGCTGCAAGCTGAGCGCACAGGACACCATGTCTGTGCACAGCCAGCCCGCCAACACAGGCAGGGCCCATGACAGCATCGCTCCTCTGGTCCTCACTGAACTTCAGCCATTCCAGGCACTCAGAGAACACGCAAAGCACAAGGCATGCAAGGAAGAGCACAGGCACGCTGAGGAATCCCACGGAGACTTAGGGAGGAACACAAAGATGTACGTGCCCTCTGGGAAAAAGCCTTAAAAGGCAGGCACGTCTCTGGACTAAACAAACACAGAGCAGAGTGTGCTGGGACGCAGAGCTGGGACACCCATGCCCTGTACCAGTGGCTCAGTGTGAGCCCTGCTCTGCGCCCGACTGCAGCTTGCTTTACTCAGTCCAAGCCGCAGCTCTGAGCAATGTGTAGTAGCAGCCAGTGCTGACCGACACTGCCAGACCTCGGTGCCTTTGGGAGCAGTCTCAAAGCGACACGTCTGACCTGGGGGCAGAAACCATCCTGCTATCGTGAGTGGGCATGCACTTTACCTTCACCATGGGCACGTACTCCTCCGGCGGGGCTGGCTGGATCTTGCTGGACATCTCGATGACAGCTTTCACCAGGCCCGTCACATTCTCATACACCTTGTCGTTGGACCGGTCCAGGTTGGCGGTAGGAGGGGGGCTGATTTCCTGCGGCTGAAGCTGAGAACACAGAAGCAGGTCACTTTTCTACTTGCCAGCAGATGGCGTAGCATCACCACAAATTAGGTCAGAGAGGGTCTTTAAATCTGGAGGTCAAAGCAGACCACTGTTTCTCTTGTTTCCAAGGATGCAGTTCAGTTTGAGAATGACAGTAAAGCAATTCATCCAAGTGATGAATAAATCAAGCACCGATTTGTTCTAAGTTTGAGCTCAGTAAAAGGAAACGACACAGAATCACATCTTAGACTGAAATCCCAATTCCTTCACAGAAGTGATTCGAAGTTCCCAACCCCCAAATCATTTGCCACCCGAGAAACAAGTAATTTACGTACACCTATGAGAATTTACTGAATTTCAGAGAAAGTCTCTTCCTTGGCCAATGGCCAAAAAATGCCACATTAGACTAAGAATTTCCACCTGGTTTGATTTAAGCAGTGAAACCCGTGTTGCTCAGCTCAGCTGCCCTTCAACCACAAAACAGAAGTGTGTCATTTTCAGTTTCAGAAAGCTTCAAGTGGATTCTGTGCCCGCAGTCGGAGCAGTGACCCTGCCAGGAACCTTCCTGCCCTAGAACTGCCCAGCTGGCTTGGTGCAGACGTGGGCTGAGCGTGGGCCCGCCAGGCTCAGCTGCACACCCGAACTGAACGAAGGTGATGAGGCTGCAAGCGCAGGTGAGTTCCCAGGTCCTCCAGGAGCTCTCCGGCAGTATTTACAAACCCAAATTGATCAGAATTACACGAGGCACAAAGTGGAAGGACTGTTTCACCAGGGGCCGGCTGCCGGTGCAGAGTCCGCCATGGCAGGTGCCTCCCGTGAGCCTGCTGGGCCTTTGCCCAGGTGGTCTTAACAGGTGTGTTCTGTTCCTGGTTGTTACACAGTCTGAGCATGAGGCAAAAACAACCAGAATAGCTGCATCACTATGAAGATGCCGAGCAAACACTGATGGAGATTCTGGCATCTGGCACAAATGCCCTCCCACTGGGCTTCCCTGCTTCCCCGCCCAGAATGGTGTGCAGGGCTGGGTGTAGGCAAGAGAGCTGGACAGACACACGGACACAATGTGCTTACCCTCCATGGCTATTGTCGAACGGAAGGTGAGGAAAAGTTAAAGGAATTTAACAGAGAAAGGGAAAAAAGAAAAACAATATTAATAAAGGCAGCAGACAATCCCCCACCCTCACGCGCACTAGCGCACACTGTCAGCTCCACTCGTGGTACCCAAGCAGCACTCCTGCCATGGCCTTCTCGGCAGAACCCCGCACATTCCCTAAGCACGCCTGCCATGCACCAAGCTAGCTCCACGAGGTCAGCAAGGGCCACAGCATGCAGAGGCTGAGGGACCTCGTGGCAACAGGGCGAGAGTCAACAGAATTAGGGCTCAACAGAGCAGAGAGGAGACACACACTTCAGCCCTGAGAAGGGGCACGGCCTCTGTCCCCTGCCTGGCCCTCAACATCTCTGCCAACCTATCTGAGCCCCTCATTTGGGCGTAGCCCAGATCCCTGGCTCAGGCTGTGTTGGAAGACAATAAGAGGTTCTTTTAAGAATAAACAGAGAGCCTATGGTCAGATTCTATACTTTACACCAACTAGTGTTACGCTTTTTCTCTGTTGTCCAACACATGGCTGTCCCACTGTGACTACTTTCCACTTTCCAGAAGTGTACTGGGGAAACCTGAGTATCTTGCTTTCCCTAGAAACGTCTGGAAGAAAGCGTGTTCTCTGATATCCAGAGCTGAGTAAAGAGAGGGAAGGCAGTCACTGCTGTGTCCTGTCTGAGGCGTCTCCTTGTATCTCCAGCAATGAGACTGCAGGGCTGTGGCCATGCCAATCCAGATTCCACCAACACACCTGGGCAGTGTTCCCTGGGGAAGGTGCCAAGGAGAAGCTCACCAGCAGGTGCTCTGAGGCCCCTCGGCCTCACATGTGGAGAGGGATGGAGGTGAACCTGTTTCAAGCTTCCCTTCTTTGCACTCCACCCTCTGCAGCTCCTGTCCCAGGGGGCTCTGCAGGACACTCACGGACTGCCCACAGGGTCTTTCCCAAAGCCACATCTTCATTAGAGAGAAATCTGCTTTTGGTTTTCTATGTTCTAGAGCCTGATGATTTGGAAACTCTGTGGCTGGCGGTGACAAACCACCATCCTCCACCAATGCGGTCCACGCTAACCACTGAGGGTGAGGCTGGACTAGACTTGTGGCTGGTGTCACGTGGATGAATCACTGTAGTCACACCTAACTAGAAGTGGATATTTCTCTCTGCAAACAACACTGCTCTTTTAGCCTGGTCTACAGTAATGCCTACCAAGTAGAGAGATAAGGAGGAAGTACACACATGCATTTTACATTTATTGCTTACTGAAAAATGTGTACTTGGCATATTTTAGAAAAGCAGAGCTGTCATCAAGAATCCTGCTTGTCTGAGTTCCCACATAATGACATTTCGGCGGCGTGCCGAACTCTGGGGGCCTGTCTCTAAGGCCTGTTTGCGTGTGGCTCATGTTGGGGCACACACCACTCTGGGAGTTGCCTCCAAGGAAACACATTAGAAAAGGTCTGGTAGCAAGCTGCTCACAGGTGTTCTGGGAGTCATCCTTACCATCGGAAGCCCTGCCAGAGGCCTGGATATGCAGGAGCTGGCAACTGTGAGCACGGGTTCCGGGTGCTGACCCTCAGAGCAGAGGGCCCAGCTACACCTGCATGATGCCCCTGGGGAACAGGGTTCCCTGAGGCAGAGCCACCCGCTTTCCTTCTGGCTCCCCCTCCCCCTCCTCTGGCTGATCGCCATCCCGGGCCCGCACAGAAGCATCGTCTCTATCTCTCTGACTCCTGAGACAACAGGAACCTGACTCGAGAGCACATGTGTCACTGAGTCTCCTGTGAAGCATGTTCCCTCAAGGGGAAGTGCAAGATGCTGCCTGAGTCAGGCAGGAGAAGCAGTGCCTCCTGGAAGCTGCACGGGACCAGAGCAGCCACCACCACTGCTGGCTCAGCCCCGCTGCTCTCCATGGAGCTGGCAACTGCAGAGGCACCAGGCCAAGGGGCAACTTGTGGCTGCTCGTGCCTGAGCCAAGTGCTCCTGCTGTCCGACAGGGGCTCTCAGTACACATGTTCACAGTGGTTCAATTCCTGGATGGACAGGGAAGAAGTGGACCCACAGGTCATGCCTATAGACTCGCAGATGGGGAGCCACGGAAGGTCCTGGCTCTGCGTGGAACCCTGGTTTCATAAACCTCAGAGACTCACGTGCAAGAGCAGGATGTGACCACGCTCCTGCAGACAGTGACGCTGACACACGGGACTGAAAGGATTCCTGTGTGGACAGCTTCTCAGGGCCTCTCAGAGGGTCGGGGACCAACCCGGCACAGTCCCAGCCTGTCGGCTCTATGATGGATGTCCTCAACCGAGAATCCCACAAGCAGCGTGTGGCTCAGCATGCGGATGCCCACCTTAATGCCCTCGTTGTAACTGTCCCCAGGACTGGCGAGGCTGGCGAGGCTGCCCAGGTGGCCAGGGGCTCCAGGCCGCGGCGGCTTCTTTGGCGGAGCTGCAGGATCTGGTGAAGTGGAAGGATCCCCACTGAGTAGCATGCTAAGAAAGCAGACAGCCTCACACATCGACACCAAGTCCATATTTGTCTAAGGAGGCACTTCTGATGCACTATGGCAAGGAAGGCTGCTTTCCACTGCCCCGCACACGGGCTACGGGGGTTGGCACCAGGCTCGGCACTGTCTGCTGAGGGTTCCGGGAAGGGTGGCACTTGGCCCAGCAGTTAAGATGCCCGTCTCAAGTGCCTGAATGCAGCTTCCTGTGCACGTGCACCCTGGGAGGCAGTGGATGGCCACGCAGATGAGCCTCCCCACCCAAGAGGAACTGCACTGTGCCTGCGAGCAGCCCCTTGGAGAGGGAGCCAGAGGATGGAGACCTCTATACCTCCAGCAAAGCAGACAGAACTAGATGGAGGACCCCCACAGCCACGGCACTGCCGACCTGCAGAACTGCTCTTACCAAAGCACACAGACTTGACGTCCAATTCACTTCTCTCTTCACTTACCTGGCTTACCCACAGGCTGGTATATGTGTTGGCTTCCAGTCTATGGGAAAAGGAGAGTTCAATAAATGCACAGCTGTGTACACCGGGGAGCAGCTTTTCCTCAGTTTCTACTGTCCCCTTCCATTTCTGTGCCAGGTGCTGTGGCCTTGGATCAAACACGTGTGTGATTAGGCAATTAAGGGACTGCAGAAAGCGCTGTTAGAGGCAAGCACGGGAACTCCAGGACCTCGAGGAGGAACGGCCACAGCATAGGAAAGGCATTTAAGAGCCCAAGTCTTCCCAATGTCTGTGCCCTCTGCTCACACCAGCGCTCCGGGCATGCTGCCCACCCACTGCCATCAGTGAGCAGGACACACAGTGAGGCCCAGCAGGACGAGGAGGTCTTGGGGTATCTGGACAGTCACCTCTGAAGCACTTAGGGCATTTGTGATCTGGGGCTACGTCTCCATCAGCGCCAGGTCTAGCAAGAGCCCATGCAAGGAAATAACCTGACTGTCCCCAGCTCCTACCCGTACTCCACCCAGGTACAGGTTTCCTGAAACTGGCAAGCAGCCATCTAGCAGCCTGTCTGAAGGACCTGCGGAGTCTGAGGCTGTGAAGCCTTCCACAACGTGCTACAGCGTGCTGCCCTCTGCTGCAGACACTGCAATACGCTGCTCTGATTCAGCAAGGAGTTACTAAACCCCTTCTCTTTTTTGAGGGGCGGAGAGAGAAAATCAAGACAGTTTCCATCTCCCTTTTTGCTGCCTAAATGCCGGCACTGGCTGGCACAGGGCCCGAAGCCAGGGGTCCTGTCATGGGAGGTGTCCCTTGCTGCCTCCAAGGCCCTGCACTGGCAGGAAGCCAGAACCAGGAGCTGGAGCCAGTAACCAAACCAAGCGACTTCACATAGACATGGCATCTTAATGCAGAGACCCCTCAGGCGGCTGCATGAAGTTCCTGGCTTTGCCCTGGGCGATACTGCATAGGAACTCAAACAGATGAAAACATTAGTTTCCTAAAGACAAAGTTAAAAACAAACAAAAAACCAAAACCAAACCAAAACAACAAAAATCTGAGGAATGTTTTGGCTGATCCTCGGACAAGAAAGTTCAGTTAGCTAGAAAATCCTTAGCAATCTTGGCATCATCCAGCAATCGGAACTCAGGTGCAGCAAAGGCCAGGCAGTCATGACGGCTGGGGAAGGCAAGCCCTTGTCGGGGCAGAGCTGGGCCACACTCACGCTGTGCGCATGCGGCTGTGAGCCTCACAAGGCAGGACTGCTTGGGATCCTGGGCCTTCCACTTTAAACTGAGGCTGGACGCTGCCTAACAAGCATAGCCACAAAAGGACTCTGGAATCTAAACAACGACTGCTTCTCATGCACAACAACGGGATAAATGTTCGAAAGCCAGTTATCTTAGGAGAGGATGAAGTGGTAACGTGTGTGAACATCCCCTGGAGAGGCAGCTCCTCAAGCCCCGGGCCACACGACATCAGTGGACCGGGGCACTGGGGCAAGGGCCATCTGTGCAACGCGGACAGGAGTGCCAGGAGGCCCCCGTGAGCTGCCATGTGCAGACTACTCAGCACAGCCTCCACACGACTACGCCGTCTTCCCTCATTTGAGCTGGCACACCAAACTGTGAGCCCACAGTCGGGGGGGCACAGCATGGGTCATCTGACCGCATTTCGGAATGATCCCTCTCCCAGGACTCTGAGTCTGCGTATGTTCGGATTCTATGTGCCAGACTGGAACACAAGGATTTTCCTTTTCTCACAAGTTTCCTGTTGGCTATGTTATAAGGAGCAAGCCCTTGAAGACGTTTTTCTGAGTCTACTTCCTCCTCAACAATTCAAACATATCCTTTGGTTAGGTGCTACGTCTTTTCACTGAGAGGAAGGAGCTCCATGTGAGACGTCAAATGGCAGAGAACGTGACGTTGCTCACGAGCTAAGGCGTGTCTGACAAGGAGTGTCTGCGAACAGCACACTTGGCAGGAAGTGCCAACCCAGTGCAGGCCTATCCTCAAGGTGGCAGACCTCAGCAATGTAATGTGACAGCTGGTCACTCCATAACAGCCATCTTCCTGCTAGGTGGCAACACAGTCTCATGGATGTGGAACTGTAATTAAGGTAGGGGCTACATTCTGTTCAACGATGTTTATCACAGAAAGATCCAGAAAACATGTGACATAACCTCATTTTAAAATTCAGTGCTATTTTAAAATGGCTTCTATTTTACTGATTTGAAAGGCAGAGATCAAGAGAATGAGAGACAGTGAGAGAGAGCTGATAGTTCAACTCTCCAGTGTTGATGAGCAGCAGGGCTGAAACAGCCCAAGGCTCTGGATCAGGAAGTCACTCAGGTCAGCATGTGTGGCAGGGACACACCTGGGGGAGTGAGCCGTTACCTGGTGGCGGGGACACACCTGGGGGAGTGAGCCGTTACCTGCTGCTTCCCGGGGGGTTAGAGGGATGCTGGAATTGCGAGTACACCCAGGTCTTAATCCAGATCCTCCACCACGGGATACGGGCATCCCAAGCACAATTAACCACAATGCCAAATGCCTGTTATTCTGTTTATTTAAAAATGATTTAGTTATTTGAAAGGTAGAGATATAGACAGAGGGAGGGATAGAGAGATAAAGAGAGAGACCCTCCCATCTGCTGCTTCACACTCCCCAAATGGCTGCAACAGCCTGGGCAGGCCAGACTGAAGCCAGGAGCCCCATGCAGGGCAGCCAGGTGTTGAAGTGGAGTTCATGCAGCATGCCAACATTACATGCAGTGGACCAAGCTCCTACACCACCATACCAACTAATTTACATACAGGGAAATTGTGTAAAGGCCTGGGTGCACAGCCCTGTCAGCAGTGTTCAGAGGGATACTCAGCGGTCCCCTGTCCCTGCACTGCCAACTTCCTCTCCCCACACCGGTAACCCAAGAGGCAAGTCAATGTCCAGAGGAACCTACATTTATTTAACCAGCCATCTCCTAGGGAAAAGTCTAGCGAAAGAGTTTAGACTACTTTTCTCCAAATACCTGAGATTTCTTACAAGGTTTAAATACACTGTTGAAATAATTATAAGGTACTTTTTTTGAGAAATTTTCAGACAATTCTCTCTTACAACACTGAGAAGAAAAAAAAAATCCTGATGAGCAAGTCTTCAGTGACTGTGAAACTTGTGTAACCATGCAGTGAGAATATAGGGACGCAGCAAACGACAAGCTGCGCACAGCAGTAAACACGTGTATTTATTTCTTCTGTTAAGACAGATTTTGGCTTACCTCTAAAACACCTGCATCAATAATAGGACAGGAAATCTCTGTATCTGAGTAAGAACTTTGGACTGTATACTCCAGAGTTTAATTCATACTGATTGCGATGTTCACTTTATTTTTAAAATGGACTGTGCTGTCTCATTACAGACACTGAGAGTAGACACCTCAGAACCAAAACACGGTGGCCCATGCAGCCAAGAACTGGAAATCTACCCTGAACACAACCTTGGGACAGCTGCTTACCGGCCCCTGGAGACCTCCATCCTCCCGGTCAATGCTGCCTCGAGAGAGCCGCACATCAGGCTTCTACGGAAATGAAGCAAAACAGGTTCACTGCTGACATGAAGGCCAGGGGCAGGTTCCATACTAAACTCCTTCCTGTTCTTGCCCTCCAAGCTCAGCAATGCCCTGGCTGTATTCATCTTCCTGCGCACACACACCCTACACAACTGGCACCCCCGCCCCATTCGCCCTGGCCTCTGCCGACGTCACTCAGCAGAGCAGCGCGGCCTGCTTTCCCCACCAGACACTGCTCCTGACCTGCAGTGCTTGCAGGCACTTACCTGTTTGCCATAGTACAGAAACCAAACCCAGGGATCCAGATTTAATGAAAATTTCACAATTATCAGAATAAACAAAGTAGCCAACAGGCCTTTATGATGAAGGAATGTGGAACGTTTATGAAAACTAATCTGCCCTGGCAAGAAAGGACTTTGTGACGCCCGGCAGCCAGCCACGCTGGCCCCTGCTGCCCCGAGGCTAGCTACACATTTCTGCTGGCAATACCCGCCCTTCACGTGCAGGGCACCTTCACTGTGGGTCAGCTCCCAGACTGTGTACCCCCCGGAAACTGTTGGCAGCCTTCACCTGCTGTTACAGGAAGGCTGCCGTCTGTTTACTGCACCTACTAAAGTTCCAGCATCGAGGACACAGTCCCCAAGCACGTGTTGGGGTGCAGATGGGGGAGCAGGCTTAGACTCCCCCTTCCTTTCCAGCTCACTGTTGCACCTGAATCTAGTCTGTCTAGCCCCACAGTCTCTCTGCCAATCACTGTCTCGGATGTGATGTTATTTCTGCGGTCCCAAAGCCTGACTACCCTTCCTGTGGAGAGTGTCTCACTATGGCATTTGAGGCCTTGCATCTCCCACCTGCCAGAGACCACATGAGCCAGAGCTGGCTCTAACATGAACTCTGCCAGGACAGGGCCCCTCACTCTGCCCTTTCCTACCTGCTCCCAGTGCCCAGAACAAACTGGACTGACAGAGAATGCTAAGTAAGGTCTGTGAATGGTCGGTCACATGCAGAGGGCTTCGGCTGACAGCTACTGACTGGTTTAGATGCAGTTTTGAAGTAGGCTGGAACAACAGCAGAGGTAGTCAAGAGGTACAAGTTGCATTTATATCGGAGACCAGGTGCTCCAAGGCACCCAGATCCATCGAGTCTTGACCTGGCATGGCCAGCACACGGCGTGCTTCCTGCTGGCACAGTGCATGCACCCAACACAATCCACTGAGCTCCCTCCCTCCAGTGGGAAAATGGACATTTACAACAATGCTGATTATGCCTTCCTGCGTTTTCTGAGTACATCCCACACAGCTCGCACAGGGAAGGCGAGCAGCCCAGAGCTGTGCACTCAGTGTACAGCACAGAACAAGGCGCTGGCCTTCTTCCACAAGGAATACCCTGCAGGCACCGAGTACCTACGACACAGGCTGCGAGGACTGTTTCCTGTGTCGTGCTCCCATGGAGTGACCACCTACACCGTGGGACAAGGCATCGGGCTCCCCTGACCCACACGCGCACCTGTGCAGTGTGCGGGGTCATCCCTAGTTCACACGGTTTTCACAGGAATGCAAAGGTGCTGGCAGCACTGTGCACATTCGTCAAACAAGCACTTCAGAGATGACGACTTCAAGCTCAGGAAGGCAGAATCACCTGCCTGAGTTAACACAGCTCCTTCCCACAGTGGACGCCGAGCGCCTGCTGCGTGCGGCGCGGCCAGCCCAGCACAGAGGCTGCTTACAGAACACAGCAGTATTTTCATACATTGAAGTCAGCTATCTTTTACTTCCATGTAAAATCACATGTAGTGACTTATTAGGTATGTTAATTCTCCAATGTCATATTTTCCAAAAACAGGTTTTTTAAAACGAGAAGGCCCATGAATACAGGTCTACTTGGTGTTCTGCATGGAAATAAATTCACACACAAGTTTGTCCTACAGCAGACACAGCCTGAGCAGCAGACGAGTGCCAATCCTGGGAACTAAGAGCGACCCAGGCAAGGACAGCCCCCTCAAGGGACAGGCCCTGTTCTTCCTGCAACGTGGCAGAGTACTCCTATCCCTTACAGAACATTCCAGATGGAATGTATAAATGAATCACAGACAAAGAATGTTTGGGACAATCTGACTGCTCTCCCATCAGATATGCATTCTCTTTAAAAAAATATTTATTTGTAACAGATTCATTTAGGTCGTTTGAAATTCAAGAATTATAGAGAGAGGGAGAGAGAGTCAAAAGAAAAAGAACTCTTCCATTTGCTGGTTTGTTCCCCATATAGGCTCCTCAGCCAGCACTGGGCCAGGAGGTAGCCAGGCGCCTGCAGCCTCATCTGGGTCTCTCAACGTAACCAGCAGGAGTCCAAATGTTGGACCATCTTGTGTTGCTTTTTCCAAGCCACTAGCAAGGAGCTGGATGGGAAGTGGAACAGAAAGGACCTGAACTGCTGTCTAAGGGATGCTCCCACTGCACGTGGCGGCCTGACCTACTATGCCACAATGTGACCTCAGTACGGTGAACAAGCAAGTGTTGGATGCATAACTCAGCACAGCCACATACACCTTGTGACAAGCTGGACAACACCGAGCAGCTCACACGGCAGTCACAGTGTGCACTCAGCTGTCTGTCCTTGACCTCCAGTTACCAGAGGACTGTCACTCCAACTGCTGACCCACGAGCAGAAGACAGAACAGCACCTCTCCGGGGTCGAGCATCTTTGGGAAGATTATATCTGAAGAACCATCTCTGGGGCCGTGTGACAGCTTGCTGGGCCATTTTCCACTGCATGAATACTGCACCACCGTGCTGGAGACAGGCAAGCTAGTCACCTCTGCTGTCTTGGGGTAGTGACATGCACTTGATCCGTTTAGGCAGGGACCTTGAAGGTACCAGTTGGGCTGTGGGCATCGAGAGCAGCTGGGCATACCACACAGGCCCACAGGGGTCCACCTGAACTGCCATGATGCCAGGACACTCAGAAGCTAAGGGTCTTGGGTGCGAGTGTCTCCGCCCTGGAGCCCGAGCCCAGGGCCACTGCTCTCTGCCAGGCGACCTTGGCCTGGACTCCAGCGGCCTGCCTTGGCCCTCATCTTCCATTCAGACTGGTTTGCTTTCCTTTCTCTCAACACAAGTGGGCTTATATAGACAGGGCTCTCTTGAAGTTAATACCTTGCTTTAGCAAAGTACCACACAAGAGAACGACTGTGCCCAAGACGACGTCAAGCAGCAAGCTGTTCTGCTGGAGAGCAAAGTCCTCTCACCGGAGGAGGCTCTGACCAACGTGGCCCGCACACTCGGCCAAGTCTGCAGGTGACTGTGCAGGGGCAGGTATGTCACAGACAGGGCTCTCGACAGGTCTAGAACTGGCATCTGCCGTGTAAGGCTACAAGGCTGTAGGCAGAATCTTAGCGTAGTCACCACAGCAGAGTTCTGTGCAGGGCCGTGGTGACCCTGGGCTCCCAGAAGAGGGACAGTTGGTCCAGGAAAAGACTGGAATGATGTAGCAATGGACTATAGTAGTAGCCCCCCAAAATGCTGCGAGCTCTGAAACGGAAGGTTATTTTTTCAAATAAGAACAGAACTTGTCTCCCACGGTGCAGAGTGATCTTGCCGAGGGGCGTGGCCTCCTAAGAACCTAGTTCAGGGCAGTCCTGTAAGTCGTCTGTGATTGGTTGGTTAATGATGGCCCAGAAACAGAACATGAAGGTCTTCAGGCATTTTTATAGCAATCTGAAACAGTGATTTTTTGGGGGGTTGCTAATAGTTCATAAAAACAGCTGCTTGCACATTTTGTGTCTTTTAAAAGTAACTTTTCTTCTAGTAATTAATGTTTATTCACTGAGCACTAGGCAGAGACACGGGGCCAGTCTCCTGCTGTGCTGCAGCAAGCCTCACGGCTCCCTGCAAAGCCAGCACCTCTCACATGGCAGTGCCAGTTTTAGTCTACATGGCTTCCCATCCCCTCCTGCTAATCCAATGTCTGAGGAAGGAGGAGGGGGTGGCTCAGGTGCCCCAGGCCCTGCTACCCCAACAGAACACTATGAAGTCTGAGATGCTTTAGCCTAGACCAGTCTTGTACATTACCCACTGGCAGTGAACCAGCAGGTGGAAAATCTATTTTTCCCCTTCAAACAAATAACAATCCAACAAATAAATCTTTGAAAAAGAGACAGACAAAAAAAAAAAAAAGAGAGAGATAGAGAGAGATATAGAGAGAGCGCTCCCCTCCCTTCCACTGGGTCATGCCAGCACTGGGCCCGGCTGCAACAGGAAGTCCCGACTGGCCCCAGGTCTCCTCACATGGGTGGCAGGGCCTCAGCTACTGGGCTTTTATTTCCCTTTCTCTCCTTACTGTACTGCCCTGCAACAGCTCTCCTCACGCCTCGGGCAGCACTGCCCTGGCAAGGCCCTCGGCCCGACTTCCCACACCTTCACAGAAACACACCCCACTGAGACAACCCTGCTAAAACATCCACACAAGGATGCGCTCACAACAGCAACAACATGTATAACTTATTTGAGATTACAGCCAGATCCAAAAAAGGGGTCCACATTCCTGAGTGATGCCCACCAGCCTCTCCTGCAGACCCCTCAAAGTGGCCATGAGCTACATCAGCTGCCTCGGCACAAGCAGCTGCACTCTGGAGCGCTCCATCTTTGATGGAGTCTGTCCAGGCCCCACCAGATTCTCATTGGTGTAGGTCCCTGAAAGAGTTACGGTGCCTTCCTATTCTTGCAGTTTTCAGGAAGCGAGGGGCAGCGGGGAGATGCTGAAGAGTAACCATGCCCCTTACAGCTGACTGAGGCAGCGCCCATGGGGAGCAGCTCTTCACAGAGCATTACAGGGAGAACAGACTGCCTTGGGCAGGAACGCGAGGGACTCAGGGTCCCCTGCTGCCCTGTGAGGAACAGCAATGCCACCCTTGCCACGGTTCCAGGTCCTCTGTAACAGGTGTGCAGCAGATGCCACTGGAGAGGGCCAGGAGCTGCAGGGCTTCCCTGCCAGCTGACTCAGACTGGAACAAG